TGTGGATAGAATTTCACAACGTTCTTCTTTGTTCGGTGGTGGCAGCGTACAACACCTAAGACATAATGAAAATGTATATCATCATAGGTTATTTGTTGAAAATACAAATTATTTGTACAGTCTAGACATCAACAATTTTATAGATTAAGCTTACTAATGTTTTAATTGATTTAATTGTAGTTAGATCCCGTGTACTATTGCCTAATTGCAAATAAATCTCCTATAGTAAATTTTTGACTCTTTTACCATCTAAATATCTATTTGTCCAAAGAAAAATAAAAAATAAAAAATGCTTGTTTATGAAGGTAAAAGAGTCAAAAATTAAATATAGTTAGGAGGTCTACCTGCAGAAAGAAAAAGTCTAAGGACATTCGCTTTTGTGGATTGTCTTCGGACACTCACCCTAAAAGTAAAAGGGTGGGTGTGGTTTAGTTTTCTAATAGGCTTAAATTGGGGTTAGGTTGGGTTTTACCACACGTGGCGACCTAATGATGCAAGTGATAGCAACACTCACATTGCGCGAGTATCGTTAGAAGTCCTACTACAACAATAGTCTACAAGGGGTCCATCCAAAAATTACTGATAATATATGGTGTATATCTGCAAGTAACCCTATCAAATTTGAAAAGAGATCATTGATCTTAGGAAATTAAATGGATGAAGTGCACACTTTATTGTGTTGTAAATAGGGGGCATATTCATAAAGAACCATGAGAGAGAGAGGAGGTAATGAGAGAAATTAGAGAAAATCAAGGGGAGACTCACTTGCTATTCTTTTTTCTATATCTCTCGTTACCTAATGAGTGCCCGTAGGCATTCGTTAAAAAAATTGATCCTGCTTTGATGAAAGCAAATAAACCAAGAACATTCTGAAACTTTTGAACTAAAAGGCTAAATTGCAGAAGTCATACTTTTAGTTAACATTAATTCAACTATTAGCATGTGACCATGTAAGATGAATACATATCAAATCAAAGTGTCTAGGATGCTTGAATGCCTATGGATAATGTGCAACAACCAATACAATAATTCCCTACATATCAACGGGGTCTTTAGAACAAAATTGGTCAAAGACAGTTCATAATTAACAAATTAAGAAAATAAATGAGATGAGGTTTACTGTTTCCTGCTCTAGGCCATCCATTTCAGCCAGCAGCGTTAACGATAGTCTCTCCCAAACATAAGTATTACCACTTGAATCCCTACCGTGACCCTATTTATAGGACATATCAATAATGTTTAATAAATGTACAAATATATCCTAGTCAATTAAAGTACTATCACATTACCAAGAAACTTAACAGGAAAAAAAATCCACCTTGAAAGCCAAATAATACACTTGAAAGCCAACAATAGTACATTTATACTCGAGGAAAAACATAGATCCCTAAACATTTCTCCCCTTGGTGTTCATATAATAAACTTGAAACTAATAATAATACATTTATACTCCATGAAAAAATCTTCATTTCACCTAAAAAGTGAAGAAAGAAAATACATTAGGCAAAAAATCAAAACCTCACTCCACTGTAGGTACTACAAATCAACTGAATCATGATAAGATGACAACTTTTTCAATGTAATCTTGTGTTATACTTGGTCTAGAGGTGTTATTTCGACCCGTGTAAGGCAACTTCAACATAGGTTCAACACTTGCTACTATCAAGAAATGAATCGCAGTCAGCAATGAATCTGTAGCAAAAAGAATTTCAGCAAGAAGAGGAATGGAAATGGAAGGAGCAAAAAAAGAACTCACCTTTTGAATGTTCTTTGAGAGAGAAAAGTCGGAAGCATGCATCAAACAATAGAGAATCTCAATTAAGTAAAAATGTTGGATTCATATTAAAATTTCAATCATCATACAAATCAAATTGTGAGTAATTGAAACTTAAAGTGTTTAAGAAAACTAATCATACAAATCAAATTGTGAGTAATTGAAACTTAAAGTGTTTAAGAAAACTAAATTATTACAATCGAATCAAAACATATCTAAAGAACAACAAAAATTAAGAAAACTAAATTATTACAATCGAATCAAAACATATCTAAAGAACAACAAAAAATTTAAGATCAAATAAAATAGGAGGTGGTCAATTATCTTATCACAGCTTTCAAATAGGGTTGATGCCGGGGCGCTTCTTCTCAAGAAATATGATTGTCTACAATGGCTTCGGGCATAGTTTTATTATAGAAAAAGGAAGTAAGAGTTATGTTAATATTTTGAACAGAAGTTGTAAGGCTGGAAATGATTTTCATTTGGAAGAGGAATTGAAGCGGCGGAATAAATAAAAAAAGAAGAAAGAATGGAAAGCTCGTTGCGGAAAAAGAATTTGAAGCGGTGACAAGAAATGAGAGGGGGAGCTAGGTGCAGTGAAAGAACTGATTGTTAGCTATTATGAACAGTCAACCTTCTATTTTAACATTAATCTCTAATTATAATTACAACCGAGCAATTTAATAAGAAAAGATGGTACATTAGTATATATAAGAGAAGATAAATGGTCACATTTAATCCACCCTATAACCAACAATTGTGTACAGTTAATTTAATAATTAAATACATATTTCTTCATGAATCATTCTTCTTAATAAAATTAAATAAAGAAAGGATAACTTTGTTAAATTAATGAAAGATGAAGGGTATTTTAGGGTAGAGAAAGTTTTTCTAGTACTCCCTCTTTTAAGAGGAGAATTATTATTATATATTTATTCTACAACTAATATGTTCTTTCGTTTCTCAACAACTAATTAATAATAGCCATTATTATTATAAGAAATTTGCACTGTTTTTTAATAGTCCTCACTGGTAAAAAGGATAAATTGCATCACCTCCTGCTGTAAAATAAAAAAGAAGTAATACATTTTCTTCTTCTTCTTCTTCTTCTTCTTTTAACAAGCTAATTATCATAATCCACTAAGAAAAATGATACATGCACACCCTCGGGCACGCCTCCGGCCACACCCCCCTCTAGCTACGGTGCAGGGGACCTCACTTGAGATTTTTTTTAAAAATCTCAAGTGAGGCCCTCTGCACTGTAGCTAGGTGTAGGCGTCAAAAAAAAACTTATAGATATCCAAATACTAGCCAAGACAAAGAGAAGATAATGAGTGTCATTTTCTAAGTGATTATCCAAAGCCAAAAGAAGCAAAGAAACGAGTGAAGCAACATAGAAGAACAACGTGAATACACATAACAATGTACACTGATGAGCGTTGGCGCGACGGTCATCAGTGACATGCGTTGGCGCGGCAGTCATCACTGACGCACGTTGGCGCGGCAGTCGTCACTGACGCGCGTATGCGCGGTAGTCGTCTCTGACGCGCGTAGGCGCGGCAGTCACTACTAGCACGCGTCTTCAGGAGTGTCTTCTTGTTATTTGCTGACGGTTTTAGCATCTTCTGAGGGTCCACGTGGCGTCATAACAAAAGGAGAACGTGCACTGACGTAGAGGGTTGGTTGCAAGGCGAAAAAAGTGGCATTTCATGGACCTAAAGTCGTGGGAGAACAGTTGCAAAGGTGACTGAACGTGGATGAAACTGCCTCTTCAGCCGCGCTAGCTTACACTGACGCGCTAATAGCCACGGCAGTAAAGACTGACGCGTCCAAAGAGAATGCGACTGATCAGTTATTTTGTTTCCATTTCCACAGTTATGGACCCCTATCCCTATAAATACCTCTTTACACACGAAGCTAAGGAGAGAGCGCAGATTAGGGCAGAGAATTTTAAGCTTTTTAGTGAATTTGAGCAAGGGAGAGAGCCTTTGTTCCTCACAAACGCTTTTGAAGCTTTTGACGATTCCTAAATATCTAAGCACTGACTTAATCTTTAGAAGAGTGAACATCTTACATCGATAAAATATTCGTTTCAAGTTCTCACTTCGATAAACGAAGAAAGAATCCTCAAAATATTCACGATTCAATCAGGATCTGGTGAATCGGTGGTCCACGCGCTAACGCATTCCCGGCACAGGCAAAGTTCTCACAAAAACAGAAGTCGATAAACGATTTTTGTGTTATTTTCTAGAAAATTGTGATTTTCTTACTTTCATTGTAATTCATTGTAAACGACAAAAGTTTTAATGGATACTGCAATGAAAACGACTTTCGATGAAAACACTAAGGGGTGTGAAAAAAAATCTCAAGTAGGGCCCTCTGCACTGTAACTAGAGGGGGGGTGTGGTCGGAGGTGTGCCTGTAGCGCCTCTCATCTACTAAGTATTTCAGTTTCTTTCCTTTTTTTTTCTTCCCCTTTTCATAGACAGAAATTTCTTCAACATCCGAACCCTATAAATAAAAATCCCAATTTAGTAACTGAGCCATCATCTTGTTTCTTGTTTCCGATCTCGCTCCGCTCCTCTCTCTCTCTCTCTCTCATGTTCCGCTCGTTTCTTGAAATCAAATCAGAAGCGTCAGCAACGAAAACAGAAGAAAACGACATAATGGCCGCCGTCACTGAAAGAGGCCGCGAAAAGCCCACGGGCCGCAAGGAGATGGCGATCTGCAAGATCGAAAGAAAGCAATACCTTTTTCACATTAGGCGTTGATTCAAAGTCTTTATATAGAGAATTCGGTTGGCAGGATCGCTTGATTCATTGAAATTTTAAATCAACAGTAGGCGTTGATTAATCTTGAATGGTTCTAATTCATATTTGCTCAGATTTTCTTTTTCTTTTTCCTTTTTTTTTTAATCTTTTAAATCTCTGCACCGCGTTCAATTTGGCTGGTTTTGATGTTTCTTGATTCCTGGATTATTGCTTGGCGTGGATTAATTAAACCGAGATTAGTTTTTGGAGGAAATTAAAAACGAGATTGTTCACTGCAGCTATTACATTTTGTTGATTTTGATTTGAAATCTGTGGTATAAATATTTGTTATAACTTTCAAGAGAAATACCTATAATGATTTTTGGTCTCGTGTTCAATTTTGGAATTGATTTTGAGCCCAATGTAAATAAGTTTTCTAAGCCAGACATACAAACTACAGATAAATTACGACAAAATCCACAACACGTTATATGATAACATTAATATATATTCCATAACATTAGCCATCAGGAACTCAATTCTCATATAAAAAGACATCGATTATAAGAGGGAAAATTACTACATACTCCAAACTTCTAAGCTGGATCCAGAACAACGCCCAAAGTACATACAAAAAGACCCCACCCCCAACGAAAACGCTATTTATAATTGAAAAAAACGGCTAAGCTTTCTTGGGCGATTTCCTCGGCGATTTCGGCTCCTTGCTGACCCCCTCCTTCGTCTTCTTCGGCAAAAGCACGGGGTTGATGTTGGGCAGAACCGTGAGCGATCGTGACCCCCGCCAGCAGCTTCCCGAGCTCCTCGTCGTTCCTTATCGCCAGCAGCACGTGCCTCGGTATGATCCTGTTCTTCTTGTTGTCACGTGCCGCGTTTCCCGCCAGCTCCAACACCTAGATCCAGAGAGGGAAAAGAGGGGGGAAATCAGCTTTTTTTTTTTTGCAATAAGAGATGGCAAATTAAATTTTTAAAAAAAATCGATTTTTTTTACCTCGGCCGCGAGGTACTCGAGACGGCGGCGAGGTAAACCGGGGCGCCGCTGCCGAAACACGTGACTGGGCGTATTCGGCCCCTTTTGAGAGTATCGGATACGGCCGACTTGGAGCCCAGCCTTGATGGAGCGGGAGACCGACTTCTTCTTTGGGCCGCCGCCCTTGCGTCCGCCGGCGCCCTTCTTGGGTTTTGGAGACTCCATTGAGGGCTTGATTTTAGGGTTTTGAGGTTTGGCGATTTCGATTTGATTTTGAATCTCGGGGCGGTGGTGGGAAATTGCATTTCGGGTTGGGTGGAGCTTTATAGCTGCGGGGAGCGGGCGTGGATGGGGTTGGAAGGATTTGGGCCGTTGGATTGGGGAGACTATGGACGGCTGGGAGTTGAGGGGGTTGGATCCGTGGCGACGAGTTTCGACCAATCAGGAGCGAGCGAGAGTGGCTTTTGTTTTTTTTTGCTTTCCATTTGACGTTTGAGCGTCTAATAATAATAGTTATTTGAATTATCATTTACCTACTTTGTAATCAAGCTTATAAAATTTAGATTTTTAAATTCGTAAAACTTTAAAACTAGTAATAAAGGTATTTGTGCATGATTTTATGTCTTGGGTATATTTTTTTTTTTTTACTTGCTTTAAATAGTTATTTTAGACGTTTGATTTTACTAATTTAACTTAATCTCTTTAAAAATACATGTGCATTAAAGACCGATGAACCTGGCTATTAGTTATTTTACAAAATATTTACGAAATAACAACTCAATACACAGTTCATTGCTTTTCAAGTTGCGGTCAACCAACTATCGTGATTGTAAAATCATGGATAATATGATTCATTGAATCAAATGCGGGTGGCTAAAGTTGGACAATTGGAAAGCATAATGTATAGTACAAACGGTTTGCTGAGTTGCTGTAAGATTTACATACGGGAAATAGAATCTTATAGATATGTTTCAACGGATCATAATGTTGGACAAGTAAACATATAACGAACAACAATAAAAAAAATATAATATTAGAGGGATATTATACATAGACGCCCGAAAATTATGTAATAAGTGTCATTTTATGATATTAGAGTTTGCTCTAGTTAAAGATAAAATTTGAATTGATATTTGGTCATGTGTAATGAAACACATCATCAGCTATGAGGAGGTGAATAGATTATGATTAATGGGATAAGAATTTATGAAATATGACTTAGAAGAACTTGTTTCAGATTAACTTTGTTGCGCGCAGCGGAAATTTCGGCAGCACTTCGACAGCACAACAAGAGAGTCAAATCGCAATAAGAATTCTCGTCTCACCAAGGAGACAAGAATCTGAAGCGGATATCTCAACCAAGTGAGATATCGGCTCTTCCTCTCATCAGTTCTAGGACTGACCTGTCGAGGGATCCTAAAAGCTATTACAAATCACACAAAAACAGTACAATCAATTTTTACGTGGTTCAGCAAATTGCCTACGTCCACGGGGCAAGGAGGGGGGAGATCTACTAATAGAGGGAGAGAATACAACTAGGGTTTACAATCACTCACAATCTAAACCCTCAAACAAACTCTCTCAAATCCCTCACAAATATCTCTCTACAAAAGGCTTCACAAAACTCCGTGCTCTTGCTTTTGTTCCGCAGCCGCACACGAAGAAACCAAGTAGCCGAAAACAATTCCCGCAGCCGCCAAGCTCACATGAAACAAATCCTTGCACGCACCTTTCCTGTAGCCGCACAAGTGCACAGCCGCAACCCTGTCCTTGCACACCATCCGAAAAATACCTAGCATAGGTATTTATATAGCAGCTTAAGAATTGGGTGGGCCGGCCTTCATCACGCGGAAACGAAACCGGCCTTCATCACGCGAAAACAATTCTCAGCACATGGGCTCGTGGTCCCCACTCCCCACTCACAATTCTCCACCTCGGTGAAGTTTTCCCAAAACTGAGCCGACACCAAAACATCCAAATGTCCCACTTGTTGTATCCAGTACGAACCCAATCCACAACAAGTCGAGAACCCGAACGAGAGTCCAAACAATCTCACCCCATCAACTAATCCAAACCGGCTGCATCTAAAAGACTGCCTACGTATCCTCTTGCCCAAGGAATCAAGCCGAACGTAGTTCACCCAAATGGCCGCCAACGGCCTCAACAATCACGAATGTGCAACAAGTTTCGACAATGATCAAACTTGTTGCTCGGAACCACCTTAGTGAGCATATCCGCCGGATTATTCTTCGTGTGGACCTTCATAATTTCCACATTGCCATCTTCAAGAACATCCCGAACGAAGTGATAACGAACGTCAATGTGCTTCGTCCGTGCATGAAAAACCTGATTCTTCGCCAAATAGATAGCACTCATGCTATCACAATGAATAGTGACGGACCTCTGCGATATACCAAGTTCCTCCAAAAGTCCTCGAAGCCAAATAGCCTCCTTCACAGCCTCCGTAACCGCCATATACTCTGCCTCCGTCGTAGACAAAGCCACCGTCGACTGTAAGGTGCATCTCCAACACACCGGCGCACGGGTCAAAGTGAACACATACCCCGTCGTAGACCGACGCTTATCCAAATCCCCGGCATAATCCGAATCAACATAGCCAATGCATAGCTGCCCACCTGTAGTGTCCCGCTCATAAACTAAACCAATATTGAGCGTACCTCGAATGTACCTCAAAATCCATTTCACGGCGTCCCAATGACCCATTCCTGGATCATGCATGTATCTCGAAACCATGCTTACCGCCTGTGATAAATCCGGCCTTGTACATATCATCGCGTACATCAAGCTCCTAACCGTGCTCGTATATGGAGTCTTTGACATTAACTCACGATCTTCAACTGACTTTGGTGAAAGACCAGCTGAAAGCTTCAAATGGGCTCCCAATGGTACACTAATTGGCTTCGTATCCATGCTAACATGGAATCGCTGTAGAACCTTCTTCAAATAAGCCACCTGTGTCAAACAAATTCTGCCCTTCTTCTTATCTCTGCCGATCTCCATCCCTAGAATGCGCTTCGCCTCACCCAAGTCCTTCATCTCAAACTCATTTGAAAGCTGAACTTTCAACTCATCTATAGCCGACCTGGAAGTAGAGGCAACTAACATGTCATCGACATAGAGCAACAAATAGATGTACGCACCTCTTTTTAACTTGCGAAAATATACGTAAGGATCAAACTGGCTCCGAGTGTACGAATGACCAATCATAAAACCATCAAATCGCCTATACCACTGTCGAGGAGACTGTTTCAAACCGTATAGCGATTTATTCAATCTGCAAACTAATTTTTCCTTCCCTGCAGCCCGGAATCCCAATGGCTGAGTCATATATATTTCTTCATCAAGATCACCATGAAGAAATGCCATCTTCACATCCAACTAATCTAACTCCAAACCATACTGTGCCACCAAAGCTAGCAGAATCCGAATCGAAAAGTGCTTCACCACCGGAGAGAAAACCTCATTATAGTCAATACCTTCCTCTTGTGCATAGCCCTTCGCAACTAACCTAGCTTTGAACCTCAATGGAGTGCCCTCAATGCCCTCCTTCTTCGTGTATACCCACTTGCAACCAATTGTCTTTCGCCCCTTTGGAAGCTCAACAAGCTCCCATGTATCGTTCTTATGAAGAGATTCCATCTCCTCATGCATAGCCACCTGCCACGAATCAGCCTCCGAACTCTGCTCGACCTCTCTGAATGTAGTAGGTACTAACCCATCGATACTCTCCACCGGAAGTGCATGCGCAACTGTGTCGGCATACCGTGCTGGCATCTGTATGTTTCTCCTCTGTCTCCGAGCCGCAATTGAATCCTAGACCTGAGCCGTCGGTCCCTGATCCTGCACATCAGTACTCGTATCCTCCGTGTCACCGTCGTGCTCGCCTGGCGTCACCTCAGTCGGCACCTGCATAGATACTGTACCATCTGGACGATGTGGAGCTGCATCGATCTCCACCACCTGCGATATCTCCTCCGTCGGGTCGCTCTCCACCTGATGAGAACTGGAAATCTTCAAGATAGAAGCCTCATCGAATGTGACATCCCTACTTAGCACAATCTTCTTATCCACTGGATCCCAAAGCTTGTATCCCTTGACACCACGCTTGAATCCTACATGGCCTTCCTAGCTCGAGGTTCCAATTTATCAGTTCTAACATGATAATATGCAGGGCACCCAAATACCTTAACCTGATCATAGTCATGTGCTGGCTTTCCCGACCACATCTCCATATGGGTTTTCCCCTCAATCGCAGATGAAGGCAGCCTATTAATGAGGTGGCTCGCATATGTAAGTGCCTCAGCCCAAAAGATCTTCTCCAAACCACTCTGCGACAATAAGCATCGGATCTTCTCTAGTAAAGACCGATTCAACCTCTCTGCCACCCCATTTTGCTGCGGTGTATGACTAACTGTGAAGTGTCTCTCTATGCCCTCGTCTCGACATAGCTGCTGAAAGGGGTCAGAAGTATACTCACCACCGTTGTCGGATCGCAACGTCTTGCTCTTTCTCCCAGTCTGTAGTTCCAATCTCTTCTTCCACTCCACAAACAAATCTAGGACTTCACTCTTCTTCGTCATGGTGTACACCCAACAACGCCTAGAATAGTCATCTACAAAAGTGACGAACCAATGTTGACCACCAAGTGATGCAGTCTTGGTGGGACCCCAAACGTCTGTGTGCACGTAATCCAGGATGCCCCTCGTCTGATGAATGGCAGTCCCGAACTTCACCTTCGTCTTCTTGCCAAGAACACAGTGCTCACAGAACTCAATCTTCCCACTCTTGGCTCCCTTCAATAGCCCCTGCTTGCATAATGCCTGCAGTGACTTTTCACCTGTGTGCCCCAACCTATAGTGCCAAAGTCTGCTCATGTCCGCTTCTGAAATAGCCGAAGCAACCTGGCCAATTTCGGTGTTTCCCTTCAGATAATACAAATTTCGATTACGGACTCCCTTCATCACCACCAATGATCCCTTAGTAACCTTCGCTACAGCGTTTTCGAAAGTCACCTTGAATCCATTCGCCTCCAAAGCTCCAACTGAGATAAGATTCTTCTTCAGCTGAGGAACGAATCTTACCTCCTTCAACTCACGGACTACTCCATCGTGAATCCTAATCCGTACGGTACCTATCACACAAACGCCACAGGATTGATCATTTCCCATGACAACAACACCCCCGTCGACTTTCTCAAAAGATGCAAACCAGTCTCGCCTAGGGGTCACATGAAAAGTAGCGCCGGAATCAAGCATCCAATCTGATGCATCCACATGGTTCACCTCTGGAGTAATCA